TGTTGACCAGGATGGTCTCGATCTCTTGACCTCGTGATCCACCCGCCTCGGCCTCCCAAAGTGCTGGGATTACAGGCTTGAGCCACCGCGCCCGGCGCAGGAAGCTTCTTAATGTAGTGGAATGGATTAAGAGAACGGAAGTGGGAGTAGCTCAGGGGTAAAGATGGCCACAGGGAAATGGGGAGGAGACCATTGGCATCAAGATGACGTTCCTGCCGGTGGCCATGTGACCTTGGTGTGAGAGGGGAGAGGGTTCTATTGCTTCTGGAAGGGGTGGGAGCAGTTTCTCTCCTTGCATCTTGGATTGGGCACTTTCCCACTCCTGCCTCACCTTTGAGCCAGGCTGTGCCATTAAGGCCACCACACGTTTTTCGGGCAGAATGAGTGCTGAAATGATTTTGAAAGCTGAGATTTAAAAAAAAAATGAGGTGGGAAAAGGACATACTCCTAATTTAGTGGAACCATTTCTGTTTTGCAGGGTCATCTGGAGGCATGAGAGCCCTACTGCTATCATTGTGGGTTTCCAAGCTGCCTTGGGTTCTGTCTGCTGTCGCAAAAGCTTTTAAAGATATTCATTAAACACAGACCTTCCTGCTCTCTCTGCTTTATTTCACTCAGGAGGAGGAAAACATCCTTCATGGGAGGGCTGCCATGCCCCACTTTGACGCGCGAGGCAGCAGGCCTATTTCCGCTTTCAGGGCGGCCAGGGGCCTCTTGCTGGGTCAGTGGGCTGTCGAGCCCACCCTCTGAGAAGAACACAGCTGACCGCGGGAGCACAGAAAGAAGCGAGTCCACGCTTCAGCTGTGGTTTTGTTTTCTTGTTTATCTTACTTCCTGGGTTACCGTACAGAGTGTAAGGTGATGATTAACTTTGATTTCCATAGAAGCAATTGTAAGAGGAATTGGGCTGGAAGGACATCAAGAGAATGCGACATAAGCCACAGAAAACCCATTCAGGGTCATGAATATTGTGAAATATGTGCCCAGCAGGGGATTTGGGAGTTGTGGGCTTTGTTCTTGAGGATTTTTGGGAACTTGCTGCCCATCCATCTGATTCCAGGTAAGAGGTATGGGAGTGGGCAGATGGCCTCAGGAAGTCCTTTTCAGACCTAGGAGGTGTGGGGGTCTTTCGTGGTTCTGTCCTACCCCTCTGGCTTGCATGATCCGCTGGCTCCACTGTGGAAAGAGTCTCTCACCTGTGCGTTAGTTGTCAACATCACCATAGCAACAGAAGCCCAGACCAAAGCAGGGGTTGTATTTGTATTTCCCTCGTCTCTGTCGCCTTGTTCCCAGCTGCCATCCCCTGCAGTAGTAGAAAGGGCAACAAAACAGGGTGTTTAAAGAACTGTTAAAGCTACACATAATAAGCTGTGGAACAGGAACTTGAGGAGTTACTTTAAATGCCTTCAGAATCACACTTTGGGAGCTGTGGCACTGACAATAAGATGATCTTTCTTTAGAAAATCCAAACGAACCCTTCAGCAAAACACACATATCTATTAAGGACCTCTGATGTGAAGTGCTGTATTAGACACCGCGAGAACTTTTCCAGGGGGAAGAGACCTGGAACAAGGTGAGGAGAGAGCAAAGCGTTTTCCAAGATGTTGTAGCCCGTGATTTAATACTGGGAGAGTATGATGGTTCATTCTTGGGGGCTTTCCTGGTAGAAATAAGAAATACATTTCTTTTAAAATATTTATACTTAAGGTACATTTCAATGCCTTCCTGAGTAAATGAATTTAACACATGTTCATAGGGCATCTGCTTTGCGTGAGATGCTGTGCTATATCCTGGGGCAAGACATAAAGACAGTCCCACTATAGAGTTGTTTATAGTCTGAGGAGATGGGCTTCTTTTTCCCCATAACTTTACCTGTCTGAATGTCTCACCTATTAGACTGAAAGCTCCATGAGGGCAGGGACCAAACCTGCATGTCTAACTTGTTTGCTACTGAATTCCTGACTCCTAGCAGTCTTTGGCAAATAGCAGGCACTCAGCAAGCATTTGCAGTGAGAATGCGTGTCTGCATAACTGAATGAGCAGTCACATTACATCAGTTGCTATAATGGCAATTACATACCTCTGATGGAGATAGAAGAAAAAGCACCAGGTTTGCCTGGGAGAGTGAGGGCGGTCCCGTGAGAACTGGCATGTGATGGATTAGAAAGGGTTTGCCAGGCAGACCTGGGAAGAGGGTAGTCGGAGCACCTTGGTGATTCTACTCTGCTGAGCAGGACAGTGGTGGCAGGTCCTCTTTGTCACCTGCTTAACCTTATCCTTTTCTTCTTTGCTAACAGAACTCCAGTTTGCTGTAGGCAGCAGTGGGTTCAGCCCCAGGTAGTGGGTGGAATTTGATCTGGGCCAACTACAACAATGGCTTTCCCTAATTTCCCAGGCTTCCGTGCAGCTAGGGGCAGCCATTTGTTCATGAGCTAGAGGTAAAAGTGTGCTGGGGGTTCTACAAAAGCCTTTGCTTTTCTTAACAAAAAAACAGTCGGGGGCAACAGATTGGGTTGGGGTAGGCCTCTTCTTTCTGATTTGGACCCGAATGTGATGTCTCAAACTGTGCAGCCATTTTTTTTTTTTTTTTTTTTTTGAGACAGTGTCACTCTGTCACCCAGGCTGGAATGCAGTGGCGTGATCTTGGCTCACTGCAACCTCGGCCTTCCAGGTTCAAGCCATTCTCCTGCCTCAGCCTCCCAAGCTGGTGAGATTACAGGTGCACACCACCATGCCTAGCTAATTTTTGTATTTTCAGTAGAGATGGAGTTTCACCATGTTGGTTAGGCTGTTCTCAAACTCTTGGCCTCATGTGATCCTGGGATTACAAGCGTTAGCTACTATGCCGGCCCAGAAAACCAAATGTATACTGACTTAAACAAATATAGGGTCATTTTTCTCAATAAGTTCAGCGGTAGGCAAGAGTCAAAGGTTCAATGATGTTGACAAGTACCCAGACCAGGTTTTTCCCATCCTCACTCTGCCTGTTCCATCATCGGTGCGAGAGGGCTCCTGAACTCTCAGCTGTCCTCTACATTTCAAGCAGGGAGAAGGGCAGAGAGCTGCGCCAACTGATGGTGTCCCTTTGTATCAGCAAAGAAAAGCTTTCTCTGAAGGTCTCCCACCTCTGCCTCACTGGCCAGACCAGGGTCATGCAGCCTATCCCAGGCTCAACAGACACCAGGAACGGGAGGGAAACTCCTGGGTCAGCCCCAAATCAGCATCCGCCCCACCTGCACTCCCTTAACCATCCTCCAGGTAACAGCTAGGATAATTCTTTTTTTTAAGTTTATCTATTTTTGAGACAGTCTTGTTGTGTCACTCAGGTTGGTGTGCAGTGTAGCTCACTGTAACTTCAAACTTTTGGCTCAAACAGCCCTCTTAGCCTCCCAAGTACTAGGACTCCAGCTGTATGCCATCACACTCAGCTAATTAAAAGAAATTTTTTTGCCGGGCGCGGTGGCTCACGCCTGTAATCCCAGCACTTTGGGAGGCCAAGGCGGGTGGATCACGAGGTCAAGAGATCGAGACCATCCTGGTCAACATAGTGAAACCCCGTCTCTACTAAAAATACAAAATATCAGCTGGGCATGGTGGCGCGTGCCTGTAATCCCAGCTACTCAGGAGGCTGAGGCAGGAGAATTGCCTGAACCCGGGAGGCGGAGGTTGCGGTGAGCCGAGATCGCGCCATTGCACTCCAGCCTGGGTAACAAGAGCGAAACTCCGTCTCAAAAAAAAAAAAAAAAAGAAATTTTTTTGTAGGTCAGGTGCTGTGGCTCGCACTTGTAATCCCCGCACTTTGGGAGGTCAAGGCAGTGGATCACTTGAGGTCAGGAGTTCGAGACCAGCCTGTCCAACATGGTAAAACCTTGTCTCTACTAAAAATACAAAAAAATTTAGCTGGGTGTGGTGGCGCACACTTGCAATCCCAGCTACTCAGGAGGCTGAGGCAGGAGCATCTCTTGAACTTGGGAGGCAGAGGTTTCAGTGAGCCAGGATCGTGCCGCTACACTCCAACCTGGGTGACTCTGTCTCAAAAAAATTTTTTTTGTGGAGATGGGTTGTTCAGATTGCCATGTTGCCCCGGTTGGTCTCAAACTCCTGTGTTCAAATGATCGTTTTGCCTCAGTCTCTGCTGGGATTACAGCATAAGCGTCCATGCCTGGTCAAAATGATCTTTCAAGAAACTGAAATCAGAGTATGCGCTCTCCTGCCTAAAACCCATTAGTGGTTTCCCATGAGCTTAAAATCCAGATGGCACTCCAGGGACTACTAAGCGTTCAAGACCCCATCCCCTCTCAGACTGTCTGCTCTTTCCCTCTCACTTCACTGTGTTCCAGCCACACTGATCTTTTTCCTGTTCCTCAAACATGTCAAGGTAGTTCCCATTTTAGGGCCTTTGAACGCTGCCTGAGTTCTCTGCCCGCCCCAGGTGTTCACAGGGCTCGTGATTCACGTTGGAATGCCCTGTGCTGAAAGGAAGAGCAAACTCCACTGTGAGTGGCTTAGACAAACAGGGCTTGCTTCTCTCCCATAGCGAGTCGAGGGGTGGCGGCTGCTGGCCTTGGTTAGGGTGTGCCTGTCTCTAGTTTCCCTTCCTTCTCTCGTGGTCACAGGAGGACCAGGAAGCGACTGTGCCAGTGACACTTT